ACTAAATACACTAAAATCACATAGTAATACATTACTGTATCAAAGCATTTCACATACATTTTGTCCCTTACGCTTTGCCCTGTGCCTGCATTTTTACCGTTCTTTCTTCCTGGAAACTGAGAAACGTCCATGGCGTCTAAAAAGCGTCCCTTTAGGTCAAAAGTGGTTTTAGACCAGCTAGAGAACAGCGATAGTAAATTAGAACTACTTGCAGAATTGAGTGATAATGATTTGTGGGGAAATTCGTCATCAGACACTGAAAACGATTTTGTGACTAAACTCAGTAATGTGCAAACTTGGCGCTTTATTTAAATTTCAGTGTTTTTGGTTTGATTACATTATTGAATTAAATTTATTATTATATTATTCGTTTTTATGATTATTTATTATATTACAAATTTATGATTTCGTGTTTCAAATTTTATCATACCCGGGATGTTTACTAGACTATTGTTTGGACAGATTTCAGTGAGTTATTCCTAAGAATTACAGGCCTACAATAAAAAAACAAACATATTTCCATGCAAAAAAATGTACCGCTTTGAGCACAGAAATATGGACATAATCAGACCGCTAGGGAGGTTAAGCTGGGAACTTGCCTTACAGTGAGGCTAGTGGTATAGCTCAGTATGTGGAATTTGCTAATGCTTTTTCAATATGAAATAAAATGTAGGACATATTTTTGAAAAACCCTGTCTCGCCAAACTTTTCAAAGCTTCATTTTTTAGTTTAAAGTAGAACTATAGGCAAAACTTTTTTTTTTCCATTTTGGATAGAGCATGGGAGGGTCATAACCCATTAGATACTTTGTTTTCACCATCTGTGTCCCATTTCGGGACACAAACTTGTGCTTAGTCATGACAGTAATGACTAAGCACAAGTTTGTGTGAAACGTGTTTACTGTTCTCTGTCCAGTGTGGAAGCTGTGATGTCTGTAGTGTATTTTTCTTGAGGACTCTAATAAATGATGTTTTCTCTGCTACACCGTTGAAGTGCAGCCAACCCATTTCTTTGTCTACAAGTGTACAGCTGTCTGAATATAACATTGTTTAACATGGATAGGGGAAATGAGTAATTTCTTTAGTTCAGTGCACAGTGCTGAATGAGAGAAATCAGTGTATGGCTACTGTTAGCATCACAGGCAACACATGACTTACGTAATATTAGAGTTACTACAAGACGTTCAGTAGATCACACTGCCTTTCGGTAGCTGTGTGCTAAAATTGAAGGTTGGCCATCAGCAGTTCCAGAAAATTGTCAAAACTATTTAAAATAAAAGGAAAAAATGGTCAACATTCAACAAACAGTAATACCACTGCAAGTCACATGCTATATGCATATAAAGTATGTCGTAGCCTGGTGGAGAACTTTATTCCATACTGGTATATATACAAAAAATTCCAAAAACAACCTCCTGCGCTTAAATGGAATCCTATCCTTCAAAAGCTGCCGACACCAAACTTATACCCAAGTAAGTGAATGATCAATTAAAATAAATATTATAGTGCTAATAATACTAACAATTGCGTGTTAAAAAGCACAAACTCTATATACATCCCCTACATATATATATCCAAAGTGATAAATCAATACATAAATAATAAAATAGTTGTGTCATACGTGAATTCCCTCACGGGGAATATTTAGTGAAAAAAGTGACAAACATACTCCTATTTGCACATTGTGAAACAATATGTATACTGGTGCACAAAATTAGTGAACAAATAATCAATTCAAAAAGTCCAAAATGATATAATAATAGTAATACGATAATTTGTGGTGATCCTCACACTTCACTCTTCATGCAAGAATATATAATGTGCCGTATACGTGGTACACACATGCCAATCCTTTACCAGCCAAAATACCCCCTCACCTCCTTCATTAGACCCCACAGGGTCAACACGCTTTGAGGATCAAGTGATCCTATCAGAATGGGTCCCTCTCTGGCTTTCCCCTCACGTCTCCAGCCTCCAACAGGCTAACAGCCAGCTCCTCACAGGATCATGATAAGACACAAGCAGAGACCCTCCATAGTGCAACCGGTTTTTATTGCATCAAATATAAAACGACAATAAGTATTACACTCACATTTGCCCACGAGTTTTCCAGCTTTTTACCACATGCTATGGGTGTACTGCATGGGTGTACTCAACAGGGTGATCCAATATGGCCCCCACGCCGGAAATGATGTCACCGGAAGCTCCTCCCCACGTACCGACGTGTTGCGCCACGCCCACCTCGTGACATATATACAACCCCAATTCCAAAAAAGTTGGGGCGCTGTGTATAATCTACATACAGTAAAAACAGAATGCAATGATTTGCAAATCTTATAAACTCATATTTTATTCACAATAGAAAATAGAAAACATATCAAATGTTCCATTTTAAGAAAAAAATAAGGTAATTTTGAAATTGATGGCATCATCACATCTCAAAAAAGTTGAGAGAGGGCAACAAAAAGCTGGTACAACCCCAATTCCAAAAAAGTTGGGACAGGGCCATGTTCACCATGGTGTAGCTGTCAGGGCAGGGCTGTGGAACGGACAGGTAGGCCTAGTGGCAGGGTAACGCACTGGCTGACGACAACCACCACCAACAGACTGAAGTCCCTCAGGGCGCGGAGTCTAAGTCCCAGGCTGCCCTTCACCAGGGCCCCTGATGGTGGGGATGGACTTGAGACTTGACGCAGCCAGGAACCAGGTCACGGCCCCCGAGACACCCCGGCTGCGGTAATGGCCGCCGCCAATGGCGTGTAGCTGGTGAGAATGACAGTAGCGTAGTCAGGCAAGCTGGGTCAACAACAACGGGACAAAACAGTACAGAACAGTAGACAGAGAATCACAGGTCACGGGCCGGGTTCAGCAACGGAAGGTCAGATCGAAGGAAAACACAGAGAATGGTCTAGTCACAAGCCGAGTCAAATACCAGAAGAGTCACGAGCGTATACACAGAGCTGTAGCAAGACAAAGACACAAGACACAAGTGCAAAGAGCATGTGCGGATCACAGGCTTGTATGTACTCAGCCACACCCCTCTGGGGGATGGACCTCAGAGACCTGAAGGCATAAAAGCTTCCCACCATGCTCAGCATAAATCCAAGATGGATGCCAGCACATGGAGTAGCATAACCTCTGGGAAAAGGTAGGACCTTGACAGTAGCATCCCCTCTTCTTTTAACAACGCTCTGTAAACAGCTGGGAACTGAGGAGACCAATTGCTGGAGTTGTGGGAAAGGAATGTTGTCCCATTCTTGCCTGAACATATGCTGCTTTAAAACCTGGATATATCTTTCAGTATTGATGGTGCCTTTCCAGATGGGCAAGTTGCCCATTCCATGTGCACTAATGCACCCCCATACCATTAGAAATGCAGTCTTTTGAACTGAGCGTTGATAACAAGATGGAAGAACCTTCTGCCCTTTAGTCCAGAGTCCACGGCGTTTTCCACTTTGCCACAGACCATTTTATATGAGCTTTGACCTACAGAAAACAGTGTTTTTTCTGGATCATGTTCAGATATGGCTTTTTCTTGCATGATAGAGCTTTAACCACTTGCCCTCCAGAGGATTTACCCCCCTTCTTGACCAGGCCATTTTTTGTGATACGGCGCTGCATTACTTTAACTGACAACTGCACAGTCATGCAATGCTGCACCCAAATGAAAGTTACATCCTTTTTTTCCCACAAATGGAGCTTTCTTTTGATGGTATTTGCCTGTATGGTTTTTATTTTTTGCGCTATTAACAAGAGCCATACAAAGCAGTGTGCAGGAACTGACAGCGGAGAGATCTGTGTTGTTTATACACAGGTCTCTCCCCTGTCGGAGATGCCCGATGATCTACGGCCGGCGAGTAATCAAGCTGTGGAGTGCTATGGTAGTTCATTGAATCTTTCTGTCAATATATCTGCTTGCCCTTACATTCTGTACAGGCAAGCAGATATACTGACAGGTCTGCAGGAGACCTGCATGGCACCAGTGATTTTCTGATTGCTGGTGCAATGCTTTATAGGCTCCTGCAATCAAAAATATTAAATGCACATTTTTTTTACCTGTTAAAAATGTGCATTTATTATTTTTGGTCAACAAAAGGTGAAGTATCCTTTAAGACTTTCTAGACACAGGGCCAGGCCCAGTGCTCGACACATGCATCCTGTCTGTGCAAAGTACACTTGCACGTATTCTCTTCATGCCAGACCGCTGCTACATTCATCTCCATCTCTGTTCAGGAACCTAACCAGCCCAACCAAGTAACAAGGATGGATTCCTAAAGTGAAAATTAATCTATCCCAGTCTGCCAATGTGTTAGTGTACAATGCATTGCGGTGTCCAGTGAGTTACAGAGTACAGTGCATCAGTGTATAGTGCATTAGTGTACAGTGCATTGCGGTGTCCAGTGCATTAGTGACCATTGCATTTTGGTGGACAGTGTGTTACAGTGTATTGCAGTGTCCATTGTGTTGTAAAGGGACACTTCAACCATAACACGCTATACAGATTTACACAATAGATCCTTAAGAAAATAAAGGCTATAGTGGCTTAGTAAATAAGCAAAATAACCCATAAAAATCAATCAACAATCTTCTTTAACCACTTGCCTACCAGGCATTTATACCCCCTTTGTGCCCAGGCTAATTTTCAGCTTTCAGTGCTGTCGCATTTTGAGTGACAATTGCATGCAACACTGCACCCATATGAAATTTTTATCATTTACTTCGCACAAATAGAGCTTTCTTTTGGTGGTATTTAATCACCACTGGGTGTTTTATGTTTTGCACTATAAACCAAAAAAAAGCAAAAAAATTTAAAAAAAAAATTTTTCTTAGTTTCTATTATAAAATTTTGCAGACAGGTAATTTTTCTCCTTCACTGATGTGCGTTGATGAGGCTGCACTGATAGGCAGCACTGATGGGCACTAATAGGCAGCTCTGACGGGAACTGATGAGCACTGATAGGCGACAGTTATGAAGTGGCACTCATAGGCGGCACTGATGAGCTGGCACTGATATGCAACAATGATGGGCACTGATAGGCGGCACTGATGGGTGGCACTGACTGGCGGCACTGCTGGGCACTGGCTGGTGGCACTGCTGGGCGGCGATGGGTGGCATTGGGCATTGATGGGTGGCACTGCTGGGCATTGATGGGTGGCACTGCTGGGCACAGGTGGGTGGCACTACTGGGCACTGATGGGCACAGGTGGGTGGCACTGATGGGCACTTGTGGGCGGCACTACTGGGCACAGAGGGGCGGCACTGCTGGGCACTGATCATCAGTGCCCTGATGATCGGTGCCGATCCCTCCTCTGACAATTGCCGGTTATTGGCAGTACTTTCCTCACGCTGTGACAGTGTGAGGAAAATGCAGCTAATAACTGGCAACTGCATTTACCGGTGATCTGCTGTGTCATTGGACAAGGCTGATCATGTGGTAAAAGGCCACTGTGATTGGCCTTTTACCACATCACGTGATCAGCTGTGTCCGTAGCACACAGCGATCATGGAGATCGCTGGGTGCGGACCCCCAGGGGCGTGCGGGAGGGCGCATTCTGGGAGGACATCATATGACACCCTTCCGGCTATCTGCGGTCGGCAAGTGGTTAACACACAGTAGGGAAAACTGAAATGCCATTGGTTACTCTGATTTCTCCATCCACACAAATGAGGTGAATGGAGGGATTCCCCTTGCCAAGACATTGTATACATTGAATACACTGACAGCTGCAGCTGATTTCCAGCATCTGCTGATTAATGGAAAGTCTTCCAGCATATCCTAGAAAGTCAAATAAACAACCACTTTCTGTTGTCCACACACTGACTTCAGCAGGAACCAGACAAGTTTTGAACAGTGTATGGCCAGGTTCTGTGTACTGTACACAGGGTTTTTAGGTCTTATTGTTATGTCACATTCAAGAGGCAAAAAAAATAACAAGCATCTATATAATTTAGACTTCATAGTATAATTTATTCTACTCCACCACTTTCTACACTATACAAGCCAGCATCTTGTTTTATCTCTTGTACACCACAGATAAAAATGTAAACCATCCTCCTCTATTCACATGCTATAATTTGTTTAATCAAGCATGTGCTTGTCTGTGCATTTGATGAGCTATATTATTATGTAGCAATTATCATACACAGCTTACATTGCAGCCAAGAAATGAAACTGATTCAAGACGCATAAAATACATATTCCCAATAACATATGCCACACATCCATAAAACAAAGAAGCATTTTTCCAGAGTTTGTATTTAGATTGGAGTAAGCTATCTAGGTTTTAAGTGCACTCTATCCAGACTCTAAACAGATAACAAAGGGTATCTGAAAACACAGTCCTAGTCTGTAGAGGACCAACCATGCCAAGAGAATGGGTATAATCTTATAAAGTGCTTAAAAAAGGAATTGAAGAATTTCTATGGGTCCATGAGGTGAATAGGTTTTATCCAGTGTTGAAAAATGGCAGTTACTGCACATAGTATGAATGAGCCCTCAATGTTTCTTACAGCTTAACATATACTTACTTTCTAAATTCAAATCCACTTTAAGCATGTGTAAATTATGTGATGGCGTGTTACGCGATCTTATACAAAATATGTAATATAGAATAATCTAATGACAGACATTAAACATGAGATCAAGGCAGCCATGTTGGCTCACCCAAAAATCTATGAAGACACTCTGTTCTATACTCCTCCCATCCCATCTTTTTGCTGTGTGTTCATGACATTATTTATTTTAACAAACAGGCAATTTCATTGTTAAGTTAAAAATGCTTCTAATACGCTCTGTTTAGATTTGCATGTTTAAATAAACATTGTTGGTAAAATGTGGCATACCCACCCCCAGCAGTTAACAGCCCATTGCCAAATCCTTACAGCAGTCAGTGGTGGCTCTGGCACTGGGCACTAGACCCTGTACACAGCTTAGGCCAGAAATCCAGGGTTTTCTCCAAGCACATGTTGATAAATGTAAGAATATGCACCTAGGCCATGGTAAAAGCATTACACATACTGTATACATTTTATGGAATACAGTTGAAAAAAACAGCACTGGAAATTATCTTAGGAACAATAATTACTAATATACTGTATGTGATTAGTAGCAAGCATATAGACGCATTGTTCAATGCATGTGTCTGCATACCAACATCCCCAAACATCAATATCATCAAAATGGATGCATTACCCAAATTGCTTCATATATTTCAGACGGTCCCAGTTCCCACTCCATGGGGCTTTCTCCATAGTGTCACCAAGACTCTTTGTAACTTTATTTGGTGGTGTAGGAAGCCCAGGATTAAATCCACTATCCTTTCAATTCCTAAACATAGGGAGGAGTGGCATTCCCTCACCTGACTTTGTACTTACACACTTTGTCTTTGATCTGTTTTTATAAATTGATTCCACGACAAATCAACTAAAAGCTGTACTACACTTGAAGATGACCTCATGGTCTTCAATCTTGTATTGCTTCTGTAGATCCCCCACTTGCAGACCCCCAATGGAAAACCCCTTCTTGTGGTGTCTATCCTACATGTGTACATGGATACTTACTTACAAAAGGGTCTATTATCTACTAGGCCTTACCTCCTGACACTGTTATTATTGGATACCACCTTCCCCCCAGCCCTTCGTTTCTCTCACTTCTTATCCTAGACTAAGCACACAGGCACCTTCCTTCCAGTATCTTCAGTATGTATGTCTGCGAGAGGTACTACTTTGATCCATTTCTGACTTTGAATTATTACTCCTACAATCTAATAGACCTATGCATGTTTTATCTCAGGTGTACCAGCTTTTCATGAAGGAAACGTACCAGACCAACTCACATTTTTTCTATAATGACAAGAGGAACATTTCGGGGGACGAGTTAGACTGGGACAAGGTACTTTCGTATACCCACAAAGCCTTTATATCCATCATGATGCAGGAGCACAACTATAAAAACCTTTCCAGATGGTATGGTTGCAAAATGGACTCTTCATTCCCTGATACCTGCTGGCAATGTCTGTCAGCCCCAGATACTATGACCTATATCTGTGGAACATGCCCCTTGATTACACCCTTTTGGCATAAAATTCTCCAATTGTACTACAAATTCTTAGGTGACTGTATTCCCAACGCTCCTACTATTACCTTGTTATCTATGCTGCTTCTGGTTCCTACAAGCAAAATAAGAGGGGCTTACTCTGCCACTTCTTAACTGCAGCATATACAGTTATTTTCCATAACTGGTGAAAATTGGCAACCCGCTCTCTACTTGATAGGGCTTGTCAGATGGACTCCTTGGGGTTTATCTACTAAAGCTGGAGAGTCCAAAATCAGACTCCCTTCTGCATAGAAACCAATCAGCTTCTAACCTCAGCTTGTTCAATGAAGCTTTGGCAATGAAACCTGGAAGCTGATTGGTTTCTATGCAGAAGGGAGTCTGATTTTGGACTCTCAAGCTTCAGTAAATAAACCCCCTTATGTCACTTAGAGCAGATGGTCTCCTGGGAAAACAGTAAGTCTGAGGCTTGTAATTTAACATGAACTGTGTGGACTTATTTCAGGTACTTCTCTGACACTGCCTTCTATTATAACTGCACTCAAAAACTAAAAGGATAAGAGAAGAATATAGAGAACACTGATTGCCTAGTCACTTGATAAGTGTTGCTGTCTAAACCCAAAAAATAGACAAAAGAGCAAAATAGTCACATGCGTGGGTATAGCCCACCCTATGAGACAAGTGGTTAATTCGACAGCAAACAAGGCTTGTATCAGTCTTTACAATTTTAAAAGACGTTTATAATTTATTTGCAAAAACAATTTTGCAATGCAGCAAAATAGAAGTAACACACTGTGCTCAGTGAACACAACATATATATGGACATATAAACAAAATTTAAAACAATGTCATAATACAGAAGTCCAGAGGTCAATTATCCTATATGCATGTATACCCCATAGGATGCTGTCCCAAAGATTGGTGTATATATTGACTATTAATTAATTATTACAGCATCACAAGGTCTACATGCATATACAGTATGCCCATGGGCCCATACACGTTAGATGGATACATAATAGATGATAGTGGATAATTTCTACGTATATCCCTGTAGATAGCAGTAAGGCCAAGTGTCAATTCCACAGGTTGCCGTTAATTATCCTATTAGTGGAAGTCAAAGTAATAATGAATATCATCTGTAAATAGATGGAACACACAGTAGGATACAGTTGTGGCCAAAATTATTCAACCCCCAATGCTGTAAAGGGGTTTAGGGACTATAGTGTACATTTGGAATTGTATTCAGAATCAAATCCTACAAGGACGTTGTAACTACCCAAATGCAACTAAAATGACATCAATTGTTTATGTAATACAGTAGTAAATGGTTCTTATGTGGTTTCTTCATTGCCACAATTATTCAACCCCTTAAAGACTACCACTCTGAAGAACAGAGGTTCATACAGGTGCTTTCCATCAGGTATTGAAAACACCTGTGGATGTCACCGAGCAGCAATCAAGCATAATAAGCACCAATTAGGCAGCTTTAAAATGACTGTGATACTCAGCTCCTTCTAGACATTTACTGGTGTGGTTACAAACATGGTGAATGGCAAGAGAATGGTCCAGGAAGACAAGAGAAGAGGTGATTTCTCTTCACAGGAAGGGCAATGGCTATAAGAAGATTGCAAAGATGTTATTAAACATACCAAGAGACACCTTAGGAAGCATCATTCGCAAATTCAAGGCAAAGGGCACTGTTGAAACGCTACCTGGTCGTGGCAGAAAGAAGATGCTGACTTCGACTGCTGTGCGCTACCTGAAGCGTAGAGTGGAGAGAAGTCCCCGTGTGACTGCTGAGGAACTGAGAAAAGATTTGTCAGATGGGGTACAGAAGTTTCAGCCCAGACAATAAGACGCACACTGCGTAATGAAGGCCTCCGTGCCAGAACTCCCAGGCGTACCCCCTTGCTGTCTCCAAAGAATAAGAAGAGTCGACTGCAGTATGCCAAAAGCCATGTGGACAAACCACAAAAGTTGTGGGATAGTGTTCTGTGGACTGATGAAACAAAATTAGAACTGTTTGGGCCCATGGATCAACGCTATGTTTGGAGGAGGAAGAACAAGGCCTATGATGAAAAGAACACCTTGCCTACTGTGAAGCATGGTGGAGGGTCAATCATGCTTTGGGGCTGTTTTGCTTCTGCAGGTACAGGGAAGCTTCAGCGTGTGCAAGGTACCATGAATTCTCTTCAGTACCAGGAGATATTGGATGGAAACGTGATGCAGTCCGTCACACACCTGAGGCTTGGGAGACGTTGGACCTTTCAACAGGACAATGATCCCCAAGCATACCTCCAAGTCCACTAGAGCATGGTTGCAGAGGAAAGGCTGG